TTTGATTCAAATTAAATTTTAAAATAAATGTTTATTTATTTATTTATTTTAAATAAACTAAGCACAAACTAAAATTAAAAATAATGCTCATAAAGAATTAATTTACCTACTAGTATTTTACAGTAGGTATAAATTTAAATATATTAAAATATTTTAAAAATACCAAAAACACAGGAAAAAAAATGCAAAAACAAATAAACGCTCAAGGTATTTTAATTTTAGAGTGGCCCTGCTTCCTTTCACTTTCCCAAAATATTTTAAACCCGTGTTTCACCAAAATAGGGTTTCACAACCCAAGCACTGTGTCCTCCAAGCTTCAGCGGTTGAAGGACAAAGTGAAGGTAATGCGTTTTCCTCGTTTTAGCTCACTTCTTTTTCGTCTTAATCTGAAAAGTGTTTTGGTGGTTTCTTCGTCACTGGCATTTGCAATGAGGACGTTTCAGCTCGTGTTTCTGCTGTTGCGTGTTGTGTTGTCGTTTGTATGAGTGGTTTCAGCGCGGGAAAGTGTTGTGTTGTGAACTGTGGAGTAGGCTATTGTTGGTTCGCGAGATCAGTTTGGAGGCTTTGTAAACTGAATAGGGTTTCTTTCAGAGTCGTGTGTTATAGGATGTTCTCAATTACATGAGAGCTTTGATTTGAATGAATGATGTTCATTTATTTCGGAATAGCTAAGTTTTGATTTTTATTGCGCCTATCGAGTGTTCGAAGGAATGCACGAAAGAAATTGAAAAGTGATTTGGTCATTTTCTTTCTCAATCCTTAGGGTTCCTATAGGAACCCACAGGCAATCATGGATTCACATTCACAAGAAATAGTAGAGATTATAAACATGATCACATATTTATCATACTTAGAACACATAAGAATGACATACAATAGTAATTTCACATATCATATTATGGTTTTGGGATATTTTCCCCCTCAAACATCATACACAATAAGACAAGACTAGGGGTCAATCCTGCTATTTGCAAATAACTCACACCTTATAGTGATGTTCTCATTTCCCCTTAGATTGATGCATTCCAAATGTTGGGTACGGATTTCCGAGGACGTCTCCCAATGCCTTCCCCCTTATAAATGGAAAGAAAGAAGATGAAAACCCCCTAAAAATGGAGCTTTTACTGCAAAATTCTTTTCTCCCACTCCATACCTCCGTTGAACAATCCAACTATTGGAAAAGAATAATCATGTTTTACAAACTTGTTGTCCTAAAATTAGGCTGATCCTTCAATGAATAAATCTCTGATTGCAATTTGAAAATTTCTGCCTAGTTGATATGTGAATGGGATAGTGGATTTTTCTCTCTTCACTTATCTATGTTTTGTTGTTATTGTCTCTCCTCTTCAGAGTGCAAAAATCTGAAATAATTTTTTTAGAGAACTCTATATATAGGGAACTCTACAAACCATAACCTTCGTTTAATTCATCAAATCTATCCTTTAATTATTTAAAACTTAAAAGATAAATAAGATAAACATGTCTTTTCAAATAATTTTGAAATCTTATCTTTCTTATCTAAAACATTATTATCTATAAAAAATCTAAATTAATTAATAACGTTCATAATTACAAGATAACACTAATTAATTAGTTAAAATTCTTTATTAATTTATTATTAAAATTTGGGATTGTACATAATATTAATGTTGAATAATTAACCAAGATGAAAGATGTTTTACCATGAGATCAAAGTTGTTGTCATTAACTTCATATTCATCTTCATTTTGAAATAAATTTTCAACTATAGTTTTTGCAATTACACCACCAACATGATATCTCAAGCAACTTCTCTTATTGTGTCCAAGTTATCCGCAAACATTGTACCTTTTCAATCTTTATTTCCAAACACTTGAACTTGGTGTATTCTTATGACACCGACCACCCTTGTTTCTAACAATAAAAGGATCATTAACACCACCATATATTTGTGCTGTACCTATATTCGCCTCAAATTCAACTACCTTCTTACACATAAGGTAATCACATTTATTCATAGCTTTTTGCCTCTAGTCTTAATAATCATCACAATTATCTACAACAAGAACAATAACATCTTTAAAGTATTCCACCAATGACAAATATCTTGCATCCTTTTCAGGCTTTAAAATTTATTTGGGTTAATTAGCTTGTGCACATCATTCTTTGCATCCTTTATCCACCGTTTAAGTATCAAACATTTAGAAAACTTTGTGATACTAAGACCAAGAGCATAAGTATGCGATAACATGGGAGTCCAACTATTTCATTCTTCGACAAGAACACTTCACGTTAGATGTTGAAGGAAAGTATGGTACACCACATCAACCAAAGATGTCACATAAAGAAATAATGTACATTAGATATTGGAGAGACATTTGAGATACGAAAGATACCAAACCTGTCAAGATCATTGCGAAATAATTTAAATATCTCTCATGTAAACACATAACCAATAAACCTTTCAATGTTTTACAAATGAGTATGCAATAGGTTCACCATGTAAAGATTCAAAGTCAACTTCAACCTCTTAAAATTGCATGAAATTCAAGCAATGATGGAAATGTTGTAATAACTCTATTAGGTCGTATATCGAGTACATAAACTTTGATATTTGTGAGTGTAATGCTTCACATCTAGAAGTTGTTCTAAAATCAACAAAAAGACTCTCTCTAATGTAAGCAATACATCACATCCTTCCCTATTCATGCAACTTTAAAACCCATGGATGATGTTCAACATCAAACTTTTCTATTATTTTAGTCCATTTTTTTTTTCATAAATTCACCAACTTCATAATCACCAAACATGCAGTTGACAAACTTTTGAAGTAAAGATTGTCTTGCTAATGTTTGTTGTTGCATTACAAAGTAGATGTCATGCACACAATTTGTGATGAGCATTGAGAAATGCCCTTCTTATTGAATTTTTATTTGCAACATCTCCATTAGTTATAATCGACATTAGTGAATTCCCTTTCATAGCTTATAGGAATCGCTTAAATATCCAAACATATGTTTCCTCTATTTCATTAGCCATAATCACAACAACAACAACAACAACAACAAATTATAGTTTAATTATAGTGATTAACACCATAAAATACAACCAGTGGACATTCATACTTATTTTTACGATACATTGCATCAAAAGCTAAGACATCACCAAATATTTCATAGTCCATATGCATGATGCCATCACATTGAAAAAGATGTTGTAGTTGATTCTCATCGTCAACTATGTGACAAAAACAAATTAAAGGATCATTCCCAACCTTTTTAGATAATGTAAAGCAAATTTGGCATCAACATTTTTCAACTTGTGTTGTGTTCTTATTTTGTTATTAATATCTTTTTTATAAAATCCAACTAGATCATATCTTTTGCACTAATTTGCAAATGATTCATAAATATGTGGTGTCCTTATACCAACTACCCTCATATTATTCATTTGTATAACATCAACATCACTCATTGTCCTGAGACTCTCTAACAATTTGTGATGGGTGTCTTCTAATGGCTTATGGTTGTGATCATCTTTTGTGGGAAAAGAGACACTAAAAGGGAGAGTTAAATAGTGTCTATAAAAAAACTCAACACTTTTTCAAAACAATGAAATAGTATCAAAAGCCTTACAAGTGCATGCAAAAAGTCAAGAGAAAAGAACACAAGATATTTTTATATTGATTTTGCTCAACCATCAAGATTACATTTAGTTCTTCATTAACCTGATCAAGTTCTTACTATTAAGACGTGATAAAATAGATCATATAAAAGACAATCGTTTACAACTATTTGTTGCTAAATTCACAACTTCAGTATGCCCAAATGTCACCCACCATGTCTTACAAAGTGTATTACACCCTAATTTTGCTTCTTCACCTTCAATTTCATTATTGACAACAAAAAAAATCTCTCTTTGTATATTTAAGATATCATTTAAGCAAGGGCTAATATGTAATTCTAACTTTTAAAAATAAATGAATTCACCAGTAAAAAAAAAAAACCAATTGTAGTCAATAAATTAAGTTATTCATAGGTGCACCACTTGTTAAGCTAATTCACGCTATCTTCTACCTATTCTGTTAACTAACTCATTGTATTCATAACATGGATACATATGCATTACACATAAATTCGGAGTAGTGTTGCCCTCATCAAACTCCGCTTTTAAACCTATATTTCATTTGAACATTTTTATTTTAATTTAATACTCACTTGAAAATATCTTAAAATAGAATAACTTGACTCAATGTAGAGTATTGGAAGATCAAACATAATTACAACAAATTATTAAAAAATAATTAAAATTATAATATAATACATAAAAGATACAAAACAAATTGTAAAGTTGAAATATTCCATGTGCATAAACTAGAATAATTATATTAAATGAGAAGATTTTTAAATATTATTTTTTTTTAGCTAGAATAGCTAAAAAATTAATTACTTTTTGTCCAATATTTTTAGATATTTTTTTCAATCTCTTGTCTAGTTAAATTTATCATTTTCATTTTTTATTTTTAAATTAAATTTTAGGTTTTTTTTTAAATATATCAATATTTCAAAATAATTTTATTTCACAATATAAACAATGTATCATAAATCTAAAATATAACTTATATAAAAAAATTTATGTATCATAAATCTAAAATATAATTTATATAAAAAAAATGTATCATAAATTTTATTTATAGTATAATAATGTTATAATACTAGTCTAAACTAAACTTTTAATTAATAGTTATGACTCCAAATTCACTTAAACGTACATAAGGCAAAAATATAACTTTTTTTTTAATTAATAAGTATAACTCTTTACTAGTTCAACTTATTTTTAAAGTAAAATAATTCTCTGTTAAAATCAAAAATCAAACTTCAATCCAAAGTTAAAAAATATAAAAATATAAATCCCGATCCTCTTGTGTCTAAACTTTCAATTAAAAAGAAACGGCTTTTATGTCAATTGAGTCCACGGTACATTGGACAATGGACTTGAAGAGTGGACCCATACACAATACACGACAAATACAAGAATTTATACACTATTTCATGCTGTGTACAATGATGAATGATCATCTGGTATTGTCTGCATCTTAAAACCACAATGAATAAACATTATTTTTTCATTCCCAAGAATATCTCCAGTTGAATATGAAAACTAATCTCCTTTTGGAGTTTGACAACTAAAGTGTATCTCCCGTTGAACAGACGAACTAATATCTTTCAACAGTTTGACAGGCACCAAGTAGGTGATCACTTTTCAACCTGAGTTTTCTGCATCCGCAAGAGTCAAAATTTGAACTCTAATCACTTAGATAAGCTACGAGAGTCACTCAATTGATATGAATAAACATTGATAAACTACCTAATTGTCATCCTACATAAATTTAAATGATAGGTGCACAAGATCCAAGCCTGGAGCTCATCTGTCAGGGAAATTATATTTTATGGCATAATAACACGAGAAATTGAGTCTTCTCCACGTGCTTGCCACCATAATGCCTCAACTGGCCATTGTAAAAAGCTGGTTTCCACTTCATCGATCCATTGATTGAGCATGTGAGAAATGGTGGCCACCTTCATCTGTTAAAACAATAAGAACATTAAAAGAGGTTATACAAAGAATTAATGTAAGGTCCGCCAGTGTTCTATCATGTAGCATAATGAACTCAAAAACACCATCCGAAAATATTAATACTAAAACAATGATTCACATTTTCCAGAAGTAAAGTGGCGTTCTCACAAGGAAGTAAAAAATATGGAATTAAATTTAATTCACAGTTGCTTGGTACAACAAAATTGTGGGATAATAGAACAAGGAGTGCAGATATTTGTGGCCACCACAATGCATGGAAGTGAGTTAAAAGTGATTATTCACTCTACTAAGGACATGTTTGGATTAGTTTTTCCAGAAACACTTCTGGGAAAATAAATATGAAAACAATTGAAATAAACTTATCCATAAACTAGAGCAGATTTATGCATGAGTCAAAAATAAAATTTTGAAAAAATTAATAAGTTAAAAAAAAATCAAAATCTTATTTTTAACTCATACATAAGCTAATTTTAGCTTATATAAAATTTCATTTCATTATTCCTTCTAGTTTTTTTTCCTAAAAGTACTTCTAAAAAAGTTTACCCAAATAGGTTAAGTAATAATAATCAGAGAAAACCAAAACCTTTCCATCCCAAACCATTGTCACTTTTTCCTGGTTACCCTCAATTTAGCTTAGTCCCAGGCACTTATTGATGAAATTCAGTAGCGAACATCGCTAACATTGGACTATAAACCGTACTATGCCAACATCCCTATCACCTCTACATTCAATTGAAATCATATTTATAAAAATATGATGCCGAACCAATGCAAATTCTAATATTTTATTTATGATCAGGCACTAAATTGATCCATTTAACATTCAGATAATATCCACAGCATTAATTTCTAATTTAGTGGACTATTCTTGGAAGGAAAAATCTCTGATGGTACAAAAATAAGGTATCAAAACTGAGAAATACCACTTTCTCCATCAGAAAGATCTGCAAGTCTTGCGATTGCATCAATAAGAGCTTCCTCGTGATCCTGCATTTATTTCATATAAATTATCTGTACATGCACCATTTACAAGAAAATAAAAGAAATGGCAGACTGACATATATAGCAGTCCCTTACCTTCAATACTTTCTTGACTTTCTCAATTTCAAGTGCATCAGGATGATTTGCATTGAATACCCTCTCCACCTATAAAGTTCACCAGATACATATATATGTGTGTCAAAAGATCAAACATTTCAATGTACTCTGAATGAACTGTTTTAAGTTACCTCCTTGACTAGTGTGTCAGTGTGAAGTATTTGTATATCATCTTGAGTCTTCATTCCTATTCCATTCTGTGATGGTAAGAAATCTATTCTGGATTGCCCCATTGTGGTTCCCCTACGTCTTCCAGCTCCTGGAACACTGTCACGTCCTATAGACCTACTCATCCCATTAGCAGATCCACCAAAACCCTGACGATAATTTATTCCAGGATCCTCACCTAGCCACTGAATATCTTCAGGCGAGATCTGCAGTAACAATACTACATTTGAAAAACCTAAAACAATATAGTACTAATGAGCACAGCATACCAAGCAGTTGGAAAATCCATATTCTACATAGTATTGTACACTATGAAGCACAGACATCAACACAAACACGGGACACTCTGACACAACTAATGTCCAAAATATAGGATAGCAGGACACCACATACACACAAAGTGAGATATACTCTAGTTAAATATTAAATGAAATAGGAGCAACATAACAAAAAATCCAAATTGATAAACAATATTTGCATATTCTTGAATATTAAGAGACATTATTTTACACCATAAGAACTTGGTCTCTTTAGAAAAAATCTCAAAATAAGAAAATAAAGTTATATCTTTTAAGAAAGGTATATTCACCTTCTTAAACAAACCTCCTAAGTTTTTTTTTTTTTAATAATGAGCCTCACAAAAAAAAGAGATTAAAGACATTAGTTTTAAAATTTAATATATGTTAAGCAGACTTCTCTAAAATTTAAAAATAAATACACTTTTAATAATATTAGTTTGTGTCCATCCATATATTTGGAAGTGTCAGCTGATCGGCTCCATTATGAGTTGTACAGAGGTGTCAGCTTAAAAGTCCAAGCCAATATAATAAACTTTTATTTGGACACTTGATGAGAAGTGTCAGGGATCTTTCGGTATCAGAAGCGTGTCCAACACTGAGGCACTTCAAACAAGAGAGGTGTTTGTGTTTTCATAGATTGTACATTCAAGATACAGTATTGCTTACCTCTTATGAAACAAAATAACCAACACATACAGGGTTTAATGAAAATGAAATTTTAAAACAAGTCCAAATTTCATTTATTATAAGTACATATTTCTTTTTCGTGTGGCATCAGTAGCTGCAGTCATTAACTTTGAAGTGTTAAACAATATTATATACACATTACTAGGGAAAAAAAAAACAGTTAAAAGAAAAGGAGTACACTAAAAGCCAGTTTTCATTCCCAATTACATGCTGAAAATGAAGAGATTGCAATACATGCCAAAATTTTAGGGGGGCTGGGGGGAGAAGCAGCACAAGGTCATTAACTATATTTATGAGCAAACATTACCTTATTTAACATGTTAAGTGGAAATAGTGCTATTTTGTCTGGACAGAATCAGTGCTATAAGTTTTAGTTTTAGTTTTTATCAGACAACACCCAAACTCTCAATTTGAAGATGGAAATGAAAGCTTACAAAAGTATTCCTATAGATGTGCACTATTCTATGAAGCACAGATATGGGGAACCTAGATAAACCATATCTACTACTACTGCAACAAAATATTTCCAAAAAGCTAGAATACACTAGCATAAATAAATTAAAAAAAAATAATATAGGAACATCAATATTTGATAACTAAAAATAGTAGTGGTTATCATTGGAGCATATTATAAATTAGTATGTCATACTCTTAAAAGTTTGCATATATTTTCCTGAAAATATTATTGCAATTACAGTAGAAAATTAAAACATATTTTGGCTAATTTTTCATGATCAGCTTTATATGAAAGGGCTGATGGCTAGTGGGAGGAAATTTTAAAAAAGAATAAAAACTTCCCATCCCTGGAAAACTAAGCAGTTGTGTTGAGATAGTATTTCCACAATCTTAATTGCCCCTCCTACCTTGAGGGCCTGCTTCTTCCCCTCTTCGGTGGAAGTTTCAGCAGAGATACAGAGCCAAAAAAAACTAAGAAAGAATACAGGGAAGAAGTTCTGTTTTGACCATTCCATTTTACTAGAAGTTGAAACATCTGATGCTCATTGTCTTCTCTTCAATTCACCACCCCAATCTCACATCTTGTTAGACTAATTTGTTTTACATTTAGGTCACATATGGTAAACATGTTAGAATGGGATGGAACAAAACATGACATGTGTTAGGATTCAAACCTTTTGGTTCTACCAGATATAGAATGGAATGAAAACATTTGTTCCATTTAGTTCTATCCACACACCAAAAGCTACATTTGAGAAAACAAGTTCACAAGATGTAGGCTAGACACTAGAGTATCCAAGCTGAATCTGCCAACAAGAACCAGGTCCAGGATTGAAAAGCCATTATTGACATTTCATGCATGGATATGGCAGCTAAATGACATTCAAGAATGATAAATGCAAATGTAATTAATAGACTTCTCAGTTTTAAGTTTTAAAAATGGTACATAAAGTCCCAAATAATAATAAAATTTTAAACAGGCTTCATATTTTTTCTTTTAAAAAATAAAAAAGAAATCTATTTTGCCCTAAGTATTATCAAATAGTCAAAGATATTAAATTAAACACCATTCTCAATCTTGATATTCTATGAATATAAATAATAAAAAATGAAATAAGCATGAATTTATTAAAATTCCCAAGTAATGCAATAGACTATTCTAGCAATGTTAAATTATTAGTTCCTATAAATATGAAATATTATCTCTGGTAAAATGTTCTTTTAGTTCATAATAGATTAACCTTTTTCTGCCACATACATACATGCTGAATCCCTTTTATAAAAGAGTAAAAACGTTTTTCTCCTTTTTCTTAATGAAATGGAACATTGTCAGCACTCTTTTTTTAAGGATGGGGGTGCCATTAGAACATTAATGCCTCTCTGTTCTCTTACTGTTCGAGTGCCATTTCAAGTTTCTTAATACAAAAGTTTTTACGACCACAAAATAGTGCTGATGCATTAATTACAAGTACATAAGATTTTCACCACAATAATCAGTATAACATGTACCTCTGACAGATCAACTGATTCCCATGTTTCATTTGTAGTCCCTATATCATACACCAAACCATGTTGACCCTGAAAGTTAGAAGTAAAATTAAGCATGTCAGCTACGAACTAATTAACAAACAAATTCCTAATTAATTGGGGTCCGCAAGTACATCAACTGGATTGTAGCTGATGATAAGAGCTTCATAAAAGTTGTTGTCATCAGGCCATCTTGTCCGTATTCTCCTGCCAACCAGTGAATCCAGTAATGTTCCATCAGTGGCGGTACCAGAAGTAACTCTATTAGGTACTTGATTCCTTCCACCTAGTCCTGTTGAAGGATATTGTTTTATAGAAGATACACCAGGTAATAATTGACCCTGCAAAGTAAAAAAAAAAACCCAAAAAGCACAATAATGTTGCTTATTTATTTTTCCCACGCCGTAAATGTATTCCAAATCAGCATTCGAAACAAACCCAAGCCCAACAAAGATAAACAAAAAATGAAAGAGCACAGTAAAGTGAATTTATCATTCTTACAGGTTTGTGCTTCTTGCCCTTAGATCCAGAAACTGATCCTCGTTTTGCCACCAAAGATGGCTGGTGGGGTGCAGCCATGAGTTGGGGGAGAAATGGAGAAGGCCCATCAAAAGATTGTGATGGTACAGAGGGTGTTATCTTCTGCTTCTTACGAGATGCAGAGATAGTAGGACTTGGAATTGAATCGTGAATAGCTTGCCCTGTACTGAGCACACCAAGCTGATGGCCTCCTGCTTGTCTCCACTCCCTAAAATCAATGTTCAATAAAGAATTGATTAACAAAATAACAATGCATATGTGGAAAATGCAATGGCAATCCCACTTGTAAAGTATAGATCAACAAGAAGCCATGTTGCACAGTTTTATCAGACCTTATACTTTGTATAACATCATCTGCATTAACAAGACCTAGAAGTTCTCTGTGTTCCTCATTTGATAATCTTAGTTCTTTTCTAAGTTCTGTAATCAAACTTTCCTTCTCCTGAAGAAACACATGTCATTTAGCAGTCATTAAACCTGATCAAACAATTTTGAAAACATTAGATATATGAAAACCAAATGAAAGAATATACCCAAGTAATGGCATCAGCTTGAGCTTTAAAGGCTCGTAGAACTGAACTGTATGCTTCCTGCTCAAGTTGGTGAATTTGAGTTTCCATATCAATTTCACTATACATCCTTCTTGGGTATTGAATTGAACCTGCGGCAGATCTTCCATTTCCAGCAAGACATGCCCCTCTGGGGATTCTATTTTGATGTGTTGGTGGAAGATCGTCATCAGTTCCTGCAATCAGCAAGTGAATGCATGTAATGTAAGCAAGGTTGTCAATCTTGAGAGTTTACATAATCTCATGAGGTCCCATAAACTCGAATCGTAAGCTCATAAGAGTTTACTTAATATAAAAAATATATTATAATACTTATAAATAACATAATAACTCAACATTTCAACTCCATGTTAAAGTAAAATAGCAAATTATAATATTAAAGTAACAATGTTTAGTAGCAAATCATGCAAAATTTCACACAAGACACAAGCTCTTAAAATAACAAATAAAAAACTAAACAAAGACTAATTTTTGCTTTTAACAAAAGAGGGGTGAGAATGCTTGAGATTAAGCAAGATTGCTCGAGATTGCTCAAAAACGAATTTACTTCCAAGTTGTATAGGTGGGATTGACCAATCTCATAAACTCGGTAATTATTACAAGTTGTCACTCAAGATTAAAAACCATGAATGTAAGTATAACATGTGAGGCCAGACCATGAATCCTTGAAATAGGTATTAAGTATTAACCAAACATTTCTGGCACTGGTGAACAATCAATTTGATTCTCAAGAAAAAAAATTTAAGAACAAATCTAAGCATCAGGATTAGCATACATGGATTTACTAATTATACAAAGAGAAGATTCAATCCATTCACCATAACAATTAAGTACGTAAGAGATACAATCTTAAGGAGATTAATACTTAAAAGCACCAAAACTTCTCAATCAAACTGTCAATCAAGATAGTCCTAGGCAGCAGAAGGGTTTAGTACCTACTGCTGATTAAGGTGCGGAATGACTAAAATGCCCCATTGCTAACTTAAAGAAAGAAACACAAGAAACTTAGTCATCGGATTGTCTAAACAAGTGAGTAATTGTCTGTTTTTGGAACTCTGTGCAACTCAGAATTTGAAATATAACATTTTAATGATTTACTTTACCAAAAAAGGCATGCTTGAGCAGTTAAATTTATATGGCAAATTAACACAAAACATGTTTCTGTTATCTTCTTTCCAATGCATTTCTTTGCAAGGCACACACTTTTTACCCCCTCAAATCATTACAATGACCTTTGACCTCAAGGCACCCTTTTACTCCTTAACAGTCCATAGGAAGACAAGATAACAAGTAAACCCACACATTCACATGAAGAATTCTGCTTTCATCGTGGAATAAACACAACAACAAAATCCTTATCCCACTAGGAGAGGCCGGATACATAAATCACACAGCACCATTAAGATCGATTAAAGACCAAATTCTTACAAATATTATTCACCATGAGAAAACTCCTCTAAACAATTTCCTCTATAGACCTTCTTGGTGTCCCTTTCCCCCTTTTCACAGAACTAAAAGTCATACAATTCACTCTCCCCACTAGTGCTTCTTTCAGAGTTCTTTGCACTTACCCAAAACCACTCAAATGGTTCCACACCAATATCTCCTCACACACATCATGGAATAAACACATTCAAGTAAAAAAGACAAATCCTTTAGTCTCATTAATTAAACACGCTCCAAGCAACACTCTCACGCCAATTCAAATCCTCCTAAAAAAAAAACTCAAAAAGAAAAGTGGGGCAAATGGGTCGCGCACAAGAAAAAAAAAAAAAAAAAACAATGCCCAAATCCTAGAATTAGAAGTCTTGAAGAATTTGACACGGGCAGGCAAAAAGTAAAGAACTTTAAAATGAAACTCACCGCTACTGTCGTAGGGTTCATAGTCCATAGCCAGTTTGCACCGAAATTGAAAAGAAAAAACACAAAAGACCAAGATTGCAGCGAAATGGAGGAGGAACAAGGAACAAGAAGAGGAATAGGAGGTGGAATGGAATCGTGGGGTGGCTCTAGAGTGTGGAGCCACAATTTGGCAGAATCGAACACCTAGTTATTTGTGGAACTGACCAGGCGCATAGATGTTACACCAATGAAAATAGGTTAGAAAAAATTTTGAACATGTAGCAGAAATCGATTATATAAAAATTAGAGTTTAAAAGGTGTATCTGATTTAAAATTTATAAGATTGTTTTAAAATTTTGATAGACTTTATAAAAATATTAATAAAAATATAATAATTTTAAAGATTTTTTTAAAATTTTATAAAAATGTAATAATTTTTAAGATTTTTTTAAAAATTATAATAAGAAATTTTGTAAAATAAAATTTGTAAGAATATTATGATTTCTAAGATTTTTTAAAAAAATATAAGATTTGATAAAGATTTTATAAAATATCAAAAAATAATATAACTTTTTTCAAAAAATACAATTAATTAAAATAACATAAATGATAAAGTTTAAATAAAAATTAAAATAAATTTTTTAAATTTTTTAATAAATAATTAATTTTGATTTCATATTTTATTAATTAACATTTCTATGTAGTCTTTTATATACTTA